TTTCAAAACACAACTAATTTTGCTCAGAAGTCAATTTTGAACCCGAAAAAGGTTCCTGACCAGATTCTCTTATCGTGCATTTTATAGAGCGTCTGATCCTCTACAAACTATAGTAAATAATTTGTAAAAAAAAGTTTCAGAACATGGCGAAATTTCGGAAACCAAGACGTATGCTCTAGTTTTATCACATATATTAATGCGTATAAAATCATATTTTTTCGTCTCAAACACTTCCTAAATAAAATTTTCTCTTCTAAAACTCGTGATCACTGATCTGAAATGAGTCGAATATAGGGTTTTCCCAACAGACGGGGTGCAGTAAGAACGAGGATCGGCCCCATTTCAGATCTTCTTGAGAGGTATCTAGTATGAAAGAGCATACAATTTTATGGGGTTCTACACCCTTGGTTCCCCTTCGGACCTCATATCTGTCAGAAAATCGATCAATTTTGAAGAGTAGCTCCGCGAGCCCATTCCGACGCGTTTTTCGTAATTTTCTTAGAACACAACAAGTTTGAAGGAAAGTCTTATATACCATTCGATGTAGCTTTAAACGGCGAACAAAACTATCTATTGCTCAATTGGGATGTACACCGCGAACACCCACGTTTTCGCCATATTACTGTTAAAAATGACCTTTTCAGCATAGCCAACGATAGTATTTCAACCTTCGCACCATGAAAGAACCTAGGTTGCGGTCTACATTATATATCGAAAGAAAGCTCTTTCAAAACTCTACAAAATGGTGGGTAACTCATTTCTAGTTGGAAGTGCGAACACTCACTTTTCTGGATATTACTACTGAAGAGTGATGTTTCCAAGCATACTGACGGATAATGTTTCTGTGTTTTTTCCCATGAAAGCACCTAGTTTGCGGTCTGCATTATATATTGTTGAAGATGCCGAAAATGATAATAAATCAAAATTAAAATTATTCTTTAAAGCACTTGTTAAAGGTGTTAATAGTGATTCGTATATGAATACATTAAAACGCTTTCAAATATCGCCATCAACATTGACTGAACATGATGAGATATTAATATTTGACTGTTTTAATTCTATGATGCATAACAAATATTATAATCAAAAATCTCAAAATAAATTTTGTGACAAATGGTTACCAAAATATGAATATATCTTACATGAATTAGTAACAACAATACCACTACAATTCCATACAGTAAAATATGTAATTGTTAATTTAATGTTAATGCAACGATCTATGGATAATATGCTCTCAGTTCTAATTCCAAATTTTAGCATTTAAAGATGTACATTTAAAAGTAATCAATGATCTATTTGGTATTTTGAATAATGATCTGAGTTCAAAACCTTGGAATCTGCAGACTTCTGACAGACGCTCTTTATGTATGATCCGTTATAATATCTTGGGATTAATTATGAATGATGCTAATATTAAAACGTTTGATAATGTACACGAAATAGTATCAATATTCGTTAATTATTTGAAACAAGCTGATCAAAATGCTCTTGGTAGGAGCGATGGCGGGCGAAATAACAGATTTATTAAAAACATTAAAGGGTGTGTATAAAAGTTTTGCTTTTGCTACAGAAAGATGTCTTGTAGAATGAGGATGAATTAAAAGGTAGGATGATAGAGGAAGGTGACACACCCAATAAGACTAAACAAATTGTATTCTCCTATTAGAAAAAACAGTCACCCGTAAAACCTAGTGTGGTAGTGATTTAGATGGTTCGAAATCTTAAGGAACTGGTAGAGAACTCTGAGATGAAAGAAAAGAACGAAATAATTTGTTGAAATATCAGAAAAGATCGATCTAACTAGAAACAAGCAGAAGGCGAAGAAAATAAAAAGCACATTTATGCAGAAAATACAAAATAGCACGAATTCAGCGGCTGAGTAGAGAACCCTAAAAGGTTTAGGAGGTAAATCAGAATAAAGTGCAAGTAGCAGCGATCGCTTTCATACGTTGTTCAAATAAAATCAATGTCGACTTGTTTTCATTTGCGCTTGTCGAGAAGTGTTGAACATTTCTTGACAGAAGATCGCATTCAACGCTTATAGAATTTTTCATTTTTCAAGAGATAACTGTCGTTCTTGTTGCGAAATAACAGCTTTCTGTGTTTTTTCCTCAAACACTTTATCTTTTCTCTCTAATCAGCTGATTTTAGTCTGGTGACAAATCTAACGGCTTCTTAACAGTTAGTATGTGCTTGTCATGTGAAAAATAACAAAAACACCAAAACAGTAATTAGTCAGTATATCAAAAAAGTTCTTAAATGCTGAAGGTAAAGATAAGCGCATATAACACTCAAGCGATGAGGTAAAACTCACAATAACATCTTGAAAAATGAAAAATTCTGCATCTCCTCAAGGAACCGCATTCGAGGCTTGAAACTTTCAGCGTAAATACCAGACTAAGGTAGGTATCACGCGTGAAAGTTTCAAGCGGATACTCTTGAATTTGACGGAGTTATGGATTTTTCAATTTCTTGGGTTTTCCACTAGGAAAATTAGAAAAATGCGTCTAACTTTTGAAGGAAGCAAATTGCGCACTATTCCTCTTAGACTTTTTCATACCTCCATATGACCTATCGGATGGTATATGAACGAAGGAAATCGGAAGGGGACACCTCATGGAGTTCGCTCGTAAGCGAACGTTGTGGAATTAATTTCTTTTCACCGTTACAGTAACCGTAACTGCTGATCGGTTACCGTTCCTGGTAACGGTAACAGATAAACAGTTAAGCGAAAAAAACGCTAATTTTTCATAACTACTTTCAGGACGTTTTTGAAAGATGTTCATTGTCTTTCAAACAGACAAGTACAGAAATGAGCTCGATTTTTTATGAAAAGGTGTGTATAGCGCTCGTGCTGCTTTTCCATATTTGTTATAAGGATTTCGTCAAATATTCACTGGGTTTGGTATAAATAAAAAAACGCTTCTTTTTGCAAAAAAGTAATTTGAATGTACCTTCTGTTATTTTCTCATACATAGAATAAAAGAATCTCAGCTATATTATGTCACTTATAAACTGTATTAGCAAAAAGGCAAAGCCTGACATTTTATTATCGACTCTGATTCTGTTTCTTAATACTAATCTATTGTGTCTCCTATAAGCATGTATTTTCGATATTTAATGATCATGTACACTGTCTCTGTTCTAAGTAAGTCACATGCATTCCGCCTCCTATTGGACAAATTGTCTACGAGCGCTTCTACAACAGACGACCCTAGAATTTTCTAAAATGTTTTTCCTTCCTAAGGCTTCTATTACACAAATGCACTCCAATGTTATGTATGTGATCCGTTTCAAGAATATTCCTTATTATCATGCACGACCGGCTCTTCACCATTAGTTGAAACAATATCACCAGATGAAAGTTGTGAAGTACGAATTGGATACTTTTTCGTTTCTCTTTTCTAAATACTCACTCTTTCTTTTTGTTTAGACAGTAGTTGGATATGCAGGAAGCATAAGCTATGTTGCACAGCGTATTACAAAGAATTGTGTTGACCATAAATTTACAACAAGTTTATTTAATACGACTTTTCACGAAGAAAGAAATTGTTGCACAACTGATGAATGCAACTTTTATATCATAATTGGAAAATGAAGAAAAAAAATATTCTATGTTTCTTAGATGATCAATGCATGTTATTTGTATTTTAAAAGAAAATACACCGATACTTGTAAAAGATGGGAACATCCACTAACACTCAAAGATTTCCCAGATTAAAATCTGAGTTAACTAGTAGACAGAACTCATCGATTTATACCCAAAATAATCATTAATAGTGATTATTTTTTACATCCTCCAACAAAGAGAGTGAATATCATCTACCTGGTCTTTTTAGGCTGCTCGGCTATTTGCTCCACCATCCTCTACGCCTGTACTTGCTCAGATCACTATACCTGAGCCGTTTATTTTTTAAATAAATGAAGAATATCTTTTTACCAGTTGTCAAATTATTTTCGCCAAAATGTTGTAACAACTGATACCATTTATCGCACTTGTTGAAGTTTGCATACTCAGTGATCTGTTTTTGATATGTTTTCCATGAGGCATAGTTGTTGTACTGTGTAAATAAATACTATAATCCTCACATATGGCAATTTTCTGAGTAGCGCTGATTTCTTCAGTTGTCGGAACTAAAAATTCCAGTTCACCTCATGGAATGTTTTCAGTAGATGACAGTAATTTGAACGATAAACACAAATTAAATATTAACAAAGCTGCTGCAAATTCTTCGATTAGCATAAAACACGTCCATTTCATCTAGTAAGAAAATTCCAAAATAACGTTCCACAAGTTGACACGATAAACGTATTTGTTTATCATAAGAAGACTTCTTTGTAACCAAATTAGAAGAGTGAAACACAAACCAGCGAACAATATTTATATGGAAACAATTTTTTCAAAACTTCTAGACTCATAACGCAAAATAGCCAAAAACTGCTGGTACTGTAATTAATTGTATCACCATCAAATAGTTTGGCTTCCATTGCTCAATATAGTAACGTTATCAAAAAACAAATAAATAAGGTTGATTCGTCATATTCTTGAAAATATCAATAACAATGGGTGACTATGTGAATATTCGATTAAGTGTATGATTCAGGAAAGCGTTTAACGCATTCATCACTCCTTGGAATGGTGTACATATTTAAATATCTGTTCTGCATCAGTTTATGCAAGCATAGCGTCGTATTTGGAAAGAACATGAAAAACTACATTGAAACATGCACATAACTCATTGGATTAAGGCTCGATTATGGAACATAAATAACTTGAGAAATGATCGAATTCATCTAGTTGATCGATAATATGTTCTACACTATCGATATGAACTTGTTTACGAACATTTAACACGCCCACTCATTGTTTTACTACTTTTTCTGTTGTTGGTATTACCTACTGTATGAATATAATAATGATGATGAAATACCTAACTTTGGCGACTTGTTTCATATACAGTTTTTTTCTAAGACGTGTGTTATTCAAAAACAAAATGGTTAATTGTGTTTGTCTTGTTTCATGTCCTGTCCTGTGGACAGGATGGAAAGTCATTTTTCGTCCTGCCTGCCGCTCAGCAGGACAAGTGATGGCAGACCAGCAAGACAGGACAGGACAGAAAAAGTTGTCCGATGCTCATCTCTGATTGTCATACAAATTATTGAAAAACATCGTTGTTTAGTATTAAAAGAACGTCAATCATGTTTTTGTAGAAATTCACTTGAACATCGTATTATACTTCGTTAACTTCAATGTCTTCTTTGTTTAACATCTGTTATCAAAGATTCGATAGACAAAACAGTTTAAAAAAAAAAGACTTTTGTTTGTTTTTAATTGATAAAGATTTTAATTTTCGAAGTCTTTTAAAGATAATCTATTATTATATAGTAGAAACATTAATTCGAGAAAACGAACCATTACTTCATTTACTTGCTGAATGGATTATTGTTCGTCTTTAATATCTGAAGATCGAACGACATATTTAAATGATTTATATCAACATTTACGTGACATTCACGTAAACAGGAATTGTATGTGCTTGGATTTCAATAGCATCACATATAATAAGTCTTTTATCCGATCAAATCGAACAGGTTAATTGAAATTTCCTGTTTTTGTTTTTTGAAATAAAATTTGTTTTTTAATTAGATTAAATATATCAATAAAATCTTTTAATATATTATTCCATTATTAATACATTCGAATTTTCATATTCGAATATTTTCGTGTTCGACAATAATTAAATTACTTGAATTTATTGTATATCATCATCTAGAAAATGAAACATCATATGAAACATATCGATGTTTTAAACAGAATGATGAAAAAACTGAGTAAAGTTTTTGTCTTTGTATCAAAAAGTTTATTGTTTTTATTTTATTATTTATAGACTTGGTCGATATATAACAAAACTTCAAAGTTTATTTCTTTGTTAATTTGATCCAATTACGAGGTTTTTCATTTCAAATGAATTTTTAATATATTACCAAAATTATTATTAATAGCTGAAGATGAATATTTATAGCCCGAATAGTTTATTGAAATAAGTCAACAATTACATTTAACATTTTCAATATTAATCCATAACATTTCAACAATTTTACAATCATCTCAAGCTGGAATATGAAGATTAACAAATAAGAAGCGGATACTCTTGAATTTGACGGAGTTATGGATTTTTCAATTTCTTGGGTTTTCCACTAGGAAAATTAGAAAAATGCGTCTAACTTTTGAAGGAAGCAAATTGCGCACTATTCCTCTTAGACTTTTTCATACCTCCATATGACCTATCGGATGGTATATGAACGAAGGAAATCGGAAGGGGACACCTCATGGAGTTCGCTCGTAAGCGAACGTTGTGGAATTAATTTCTTTTCACCGTTACAGTAACCGTAACTGCTGATCGGTTACCGTTCCTGGTAACGGTAACAGATAAACAGTTAAGCGAAAAAAACGCTAATTTTTCATAACTACTTTCAGGACGTTTTTGAAAGATGTTCATTGTCTTTCAAACAGACAAGTACAGAAATGAGCTCGATTTTTTATGAAAAGGTGTGTATAGCGCTCGTGCTGCTTTTCCATATTTGTTATAAGGATTTCGTCAAATATTCACTGGGTTTGGTATAAATAAAAAAACGCTTCTTTTTGCAAAAAAGTAATTTGAATGTACCTTCTGTTATTTTCTCATACATAGAATAAAAGAATCTCAGCTATATTATGTCACTTATAAACTGTATTAGCAAAAAGGCAAAGCCTGACATTTTATTATCGACTCTGATTCTGTTTCTTAATACTAATCTATTGTGTCTCCTATAAGCATGTATTTTCGATATTTAATGATCATGTACACTGTCTCTGTTCTAAGTAAGTCACATGCATTCCGCCTCCTATTGGACAAATTGTCTACGAGCGCTTCTACAACAGACGACCCTAGAATTTTCTAAAATGTTTTTCCTTCCTAAGGCTTCTATTACACAAATGCACTCCAATGTTATGTATGTGATCCGTTTCAAGAATATTCCTTATTATCATGCACGACCGGCTCTTCACCATTAGTTGAAACAATATCACCAGATGAAAGTTGTGAAGTACGAATTGGATACTTTTTCGTTTCTCTTTTCTAAATACTCACTCTTTCTTTTTGTTTAGACAGTAGTTGGATATGCAGGAAGCATAAGCTATGTTGCACAGCGTATTACAAAGAATTGTGTTGACCATAAATTTACAACAAGTTTATTTAATACGACTTTTCACGAAGAAAGAAATTGTTGCACAACTGATGAATGCAACTTTTATATCATAATTGGAAAATGAAGAAAAAAAATATTCTATGTTTCTTAGATGATCAATGCATGTTATTTGTATTTTAAAAGAAAATACACCGATACTTGTAAAAGATGGGAACATCCACTAACACTCAAAGATTTCCCAGATTAAAATCTGAGTTAACTAGTAGACAGAACTCATCGATTTATACCCAAAATAATCATTAATAGTGATTATTTTTTACATCCTCCAACAAAGAGAGTGAATATCATCTACCTGGTCTTTTTAGGCTGCTCGGCTATTTGCTCCACCATCCTCTACGCCTGTACTTGCTCAGATCACTATACCTGAGCCGTTTATTTTTTAAATAAATGAAGAATATCTTTTTACCAGTTGTCAAATTATTTTCGCCAAAATGTTGTAACAACTGATACCATTTATCGCACTTGTTGAAGTTTGCATACTCAGTGATCTGTTTTTGATATGTTTTCCATGAGGCATAGTTGTTGTACTGTGTAAATAAATACTATAATCCTCACATATGGCAATTTTCTGAGTAGCGCTGATTTCTTCAGTTGTCGGAACTAAAAATTCCAGTTCACCTCATGGAATGTTTTCAGTAGATGACAGTAATTTGAACGATAAACACAAATTAAATATTAACAAAGCTGCTGCAAATTCTTCGATTAGCATAAAACACGTCCATTTCATCTAGTAAGAAAATTCCAAAATAACGTTCCACAAGTTGACACGATAAACGTATTTGTTTATCATAAGAAGACTTCTTTGTAACCAAATTAGAAGAGTGAAACACAAACCAGCGAACAATATTTATATGGAAACAATTTTTTCAAAACTTCTAGACTCATAACGCAAAATAGCCAAAAACTGCTGGTACTGTAATTAATTGTATCACCATCAAATAGTTTGGCTTCCATTGCTCAATATAGTAACGTTATCAAAAAACAAATAAATAAGGTTGATTCGTCATATTCTTGAAAATATCAATAACAATGGGTGACTATGTGAATATTCGATTAAGTGTATGATTCAGGAAAGCGTTTAACGCATTCATCACTCCTTGGAATGGTGTACATATTTAAATATCTGTTCTGCATCAGTTTATGCAAGCATAGCGTCGTATTTGGAAAGAACATGAAAAACTACATTGAAACATGCACATAACTCATTGGATTAAGGCTCGATTATGGAACATAAATAACTTGAGAAATGATCGAATTCATCTAGTTGATCGATAATATGTTCTACACTATCGATATGAACTTGTTTACGAACATTTAACACGCCCACTCATTGTTTTACTACTTTTTCTGTTGTTGGTATTACCTACTGTATGAATATAATAATGATGATGAAATACCTAACTTTGGCGACTTGTTTCATATACAGTTTTTTTCTAAGACGTGTGTTATTCAAAAACAAAATGGTTAATTGTGTTTGTCTTGTTTCATGTCCTGTCCTGTGGACAGGATGGAAAGTCATTTTTCGTCCTGCCTGCCGCTCAGCAGGACAAGTGATGGCAGACCAGCAAGACAGGACAGGACAGAAAAAGTTGTCCGATGCTCATCTCTGATTGTCATACAAATTATTGAAAAACATCGTTGTTTAGTATTAAAAGAACGTCAATCATGTTTTTGTAGAAATTCACTTGAACATCGTATTATACTTCGTTAACTTCAATGTCTTCTTTGTTTAACATCTGTTATCAAAGATTCGATAGACAAAACAGTTTAAAAAAAAAAGACTTTTGTTTGTTTTTAATTGATAAAGATTTTAATTTTCGAAGTCTTTTAAAGATAATCTATTATTATATAGTAGAAACATTAATTCGAGAAAACGAACCATTACTTCATTTACTTGCTGAATGGATTATTGTTCGTCTTTAATATCTGAAGATCGAACGACATATTTAAATGATTTATATCAACATTTACGTGACATTCACGTAAACAGGAATTGTATGTGCTTGGATTTCAATAGCATCACATATAATAAGTCTTTTATCCGATCAAATCGAACAGGTTAATTGAAATTTCCTGTTTTTGTTTTTTGAAATAAAATTTGTTTTTTAATTAGATTAAATATATCAATAAAATCTTTTAATATATTATTCCATTATTAATACATTCGAATTTTCATATTCGAATATTTTCGTGTTCGACAATAATTAAATTACTTGAATTTATTGTATATCATCATCTAGAAAATGAAACATCATATGAAACATATCGATGTTTTAAACAGAATGATGAAAAAACTGAGTAAAGTTTTTGTCTTTGTATCAAAAAGTTTATTGTTTTTATTTTATTATTTATAGACTTGGTCGATATATAACAAAACTTCAAAGTTTATTTCTTTGTTAATTTGATCCAATTACGAGGTTTTTCATTTCAAATGAATTTTTAATATATTACCAAAATTATTATTAATAGCTGAAGATGAATATTTATAGCCCGAATAGTTTATTGAAATAAGTCAACAATTACATTTAACATTTTCAATATTAATCCATAACATTTCAACAATTTTACAATCATCTCAAGCTGGAATATGAAGATTAACAAATAAGAAAATAAATGCTTGAATAGATTTGAAGACAATGTTTCTTTTTTTGACATTGTTTAGCTTCTGGAAAAAGTGAAAGAGGAGAAACTCAAGATGAAGAAGAATCTTCAACGATTCAACATAAAACAAATTCATATCCGATTGTTGAAGCACTTAATGATACTGAATTAAGAGAAAGTATTAAACGAATTCAATTGATTGTTATTGCTTTACTTATTGATAAACAAGCAAATTTAGGTGGTAAGTCTTAGTACTAAATGACAGATTCAATTCAATAGAAAAAAAATTCCATTTTGAATGGTATATTCGGCAAAATATTTCTGATCATAATTTATTGTCTCATTTCTAGAACAAAAGAGACGAAAGTATATGATAAGAGGAAGTTTATTATTCCATCAATCTTATTAGCGCCAAAATAATCAATAATCACTAAAACCAAATGTATTAGAAAAATCTTTAATCTACTTTATTAGTGTTGTTTTATCATTGCTGTTTGCAATATCAGTTTCAATAGAATTTACTGCTGGTATTTTTGGAACAATGATGACTTGTGTTTCAATATCGCTTATAGAAATTTTTCGTTTTCTAATAATTTTGTCTTTCTTTGTTAAAATTACATCATCTATTCTCTCTTGCATTCCAATGTCATGAGCTTTGGTGAACGCATGTGAAACGATATCATCATCTTCATCTACTGCAGTAGCACTATTCAAAATAGTACGAACTACTTCTTCGATTATTATTTTAGATGTATCGTCGTCACTAAATCAATGAAACAGAAAGACAACTATTTTTTACAAATTAAATGATAGTTTTTATGTGGCAAACCTGATATTCACTGAACTTGTTAGTTTAAGAGATTTTACTGGCCTAACAGTTAATGAACTCTCAAGAGAAGATTGAGTAGATGACGTCTCTTGTTCTCGGTATATCACATGGTGAGGACAATTAACAATTGTTTCGTCGATTGTTTTTAGTTCTAAGACAGAAACCATAGAATTAGGATTATTGTCTTTTGTATTCGAATTTTTGACATCGCTGAATTCACTAAAATACGAAACAATTATCAATCTATCAAAAAATCTAAGATGAAGCAAAACTACATTTTCCTAGAAGTGTAGAAAATTGATCTATTAGAAGAAAAAAACCAAATCATGTGGATAATATTGAAGATACTCAGTGTTTAAAATTCTTCAATTTAACTAATTTTTAAAAAGAATTTTATCGTTAATTTAGTAACGACTAATAAAAAAAGATTTCTTAATGACAGACACAATTCTATAAAATCCTCTTCTTACATCATTGTTGTTTGTGTTGCTGTTGTCCGAATTGAATATGAATCAAGAACATTTGACATTTTTTTAACAGCTGATGAATTGTTTGACTATAAGATAATACATTAGAAAAACATATTTCTTATTTTTCTTATTTTTAATAATTGAAAAGGTAAATGTTTGTTTAACTATCTCTACATAACAATGATCTGTTTCAGTACTTTGAATTCAGATGACGAATTCTTCATTAATATAAATACCTGTGTAAAGACCCATTTATCTGCTAAAAATGCCTTTGCTCTCTCTATGATTTGTTCTTTTTTATTTATTAGTTGCTGACGAATTTGTGGATCGTTTGAATCATGTCTAAAAATAAACATAGGAGAAATTATTAGAGAAATATTTTTCTATGTCAGGTCAAATACTCAAGATGAAGCTGTTGTGTGAAATGAACAATATCCATTTTAATCAGTCTTTTATCATAAACATGTCGTAACAGTTCCCAAATTACAAGATAAATTTGATGACGATCGCGTAAAACACGATCGCATAGTTCATTATAATATTTTGCTTTAACCTTCGAATATAAAAATGAATTGAATGATTCTTGTTTATCTGACTTTTCATCACTTTTTCTCCTTAAAAGAACGTAAATAAAAATTCAACAGACATTGGATTTTGTCCATGAGTACGATTTCTAACGTACCAGAGGTGTTCATAGGTTTCACATAATTGATCATATTGGGTCTTGAATATCTAAAACAAACAAAAATAAATTTTATATTAAACTAATGATGTTGGAAAAGTAAACAGTCTTACGACTGACGGTCCAAGCAAGTAATTATTCATTGCTGCTGCTATTAGTTGCCAATCATTTGTATCGTATTGTAAAATGGCTGATAACAAAACAAAATCTTCTTGAGACGTGAATCGAACCATCTAGAAAAAAGATCGTCTTTTTAGGGGTGGAAAAGAGAAGTAGAAAAAGACTGAATAAGACTATCTTTTAATCGTCGAACTATTATGTGATTCTAGTCAAAACTCACTATTAAGAAACTGAGGAAGAAGTCGTAGATTTTATCTAACGTTCGCACCGACAATCGATCGATCAGTTAGACAGGAGCCGGCCTTCCTTGAACATTTAGTAAAAATATATCAAGAGCACATTGTTACATTCAACATGAAAAATCAAAAAATTGTGATGATTCTCGAATCTAGCTAATGACGCATTTCTATCCAGGTTTCTTTTTGATTTCCTCTCAAAAAGATTTTTTCTACGCATTCTTCACAATTCTGAAGAAATAAAAAGAAACAAGACTTCGTCTTGCAGAGAGAGAGAGAGATGATATGGTACGTAGTGTATAAATAATCGAAGTACTATTGTTAAGCAGCACTTATAACAAATTTTTCATGGCTTTCAAAAATTGAAAGGGCTTTATGTTAGATACTTTATTAAAGGACACTTTTTTAGATTATTTTCATTCGAGTGTATGAGTGAATTTCTTAGCCATTGTACCATTTGAGAGAAAAAGGTTATCTAGATCTATCTAAGTCGTCCGTTTCAAAGGCCGTTGTTGACTGTGTGTGGACCCGTCATCCGCGAATTACAAACAAAGAAAGAGTCTATTCCAGATTATTTCACTGAATTTGGTTCTCCCCCATGCTTTTCATAGATACAGGTACATCCCCACCACCGTCTTTTTACACCCTCTTGAAATTCCGGGAAGCCGATGTTTGATCGGAGCGAAAATTATACCAGACATAGAACATCAAAAATGAAAATCGACATATTTTTGCCCAGAAGTTTTTGACATGTTCTTCTATGGGTTTTCATAAAAACTCTAGTTTTCATTCAGTCACATTACGATCCCCTGAAAAAATGGTCCGATAGAGCTCAGAATTTTACCACAGATACTTTAGACTCTATCTCAGATTCGAAATTTTCCATTCGAAAAATATGCTTTCCTTCTCGAGATATCTGAAAAAATACTAAAAATTCTGTATAAAAAGCAGTTTTTTATTTTAAAAACATTCTCACGCCAAAAGTTGAAATTGAAAACGCTTAAAAATAATTTAGAACCTGAGATAGGGTCTAAAGTATCTGTGGTAAAAGTTTGAGCTCGATCGGACCACTTTTTCGTGGGATCGTAAAGTGACTGGATTGATTCAGTCTTTTTCTACTTCTCTTTTTTATTTCGTAATAAATAAGATTTCTTTATTCAATAATAATTTTATATTTTGTAGGACAGATATTCGCCTAAGAAAATCTTCAACAGAATCCACTAATTCAGAGCCAATAATTTTAAACGAACAGATAATTGATGAATTTATTGAAAAAGAAATTCAGTAAGTTTTCCCGGCGCTGCTCTTATCATAATTCACTATGGTAAAATACTAAAACAAAGTGTCTATGGTATAAATTAGAATACATATGTATTACAAGGTGAAGTCCATGATGAAAAGTTGTTTCATTCAATGAATATCGGGACATGTTGGTTTGTTTTCTAATTTACAAGACATGGTGATTCTCAGTCAAATTATGTTGAATAATGGTCGATATAGAAATATTCCATTGTGGAGTAAGAATGTGCAAGATCAATTTCTAATGTCGTATGCACTTGATCCAACATACGGATTAGGATGACGTCAAAATTGGAATAAATCTTTATCGTGGTTCGGGCTTCATGCATCGGACGCGGCATATGGTCATACTGGATGGACTGGAACATGCTCTGTTATTGATCCGAAGTACTCAGTGGCTATTATTTTATTAACGAATAAACGGCATACACCATTTATCAATGGAACACTCGACGGTGAAAATTTTCAGATTGGAAAATATAGCAAAATAATGGCGCTAGTCTATGAATCGATGTCATCGCATGAACATTTCCTTATGAATAGGCATGCGCTAATAGCAAAACTCTTAGTTTTGATGGTATTGACATCGATAGAGTACTGGTATTGACAGTTTACGTCGACTTCGTTCTTTCTTCCTCGCTTCGTTCTCGTTAACCCGAATAAAGAGAAGAGAAAACACAACATCTAAAAAGCCGAATGAGCTTGGTCTCGCCCGGAAAACAATTCAGCAAGAATTTTAGGCCCGCTCCTCTCGCTTCACATTACTTTTAATACAAAGTTTCCTCTCACGAGGATTTCACATGGGCGGAACCGCTCGGTCCTTGGTAGTAAACAGCTTGAAAGAAAAGCCGTAGAACTTGATTGTTCGATAGGTCTTGCAGAAAATTGATTGACTTCTTGTCCTTGGGACAAACTTTTCAACACTACGAAACTCTTTCCTTTGCACGAAGCACTACCGTTCTAAGTAAGCTGGTGATAACGGCCATTTTGACGAAAAAACTAGTTTACAGTGAATGTGTCAGTGTATCGTTCTACCCTCCTTTCACCAACACCTGTTAATTTTCCCATCATCGTTTCTCTACTCTAAAAAACAAATCGAACTCTTCATATTTCAAAAACCCTTACACGCTTCTTCACTATCACCATGCTCAAACTACTTATCACCAGTGTAGTCTTCTCACTTTTACTCGGCTTAGCTGTCACGTCAACTCTATCGTCCGCTGACATCCTACGAGCCGCAGCAGAAGGACAAGGAAACAAGCACGGCTGTGATAAGATCATCGGCTACCAAATCGACCACTGTGGCCCGATTGGAGCCTGCTGCGATGCTCACGACGACTGTTTCACGCTCCACAAATGCCGTGCGACCAGCTGGATACCGGGTATTGGCAGTAAGGAGTGTAATGGGTGTAACGGAGCGATGGCCACGTGCATGAAAGATGGTGGCCCGGGACCAAGTCGATGTTGTGCTAATGGAAACTGTGGTGTGGTAATATCGGCTTTAGGTTAGAAAGATGTGTATTGATAAGTTGCTTTGAAATAAAAAGTAAGGCTTGTTAGTTTCCATCAAGTGACTTTCCATGTCTTCTCTTAGACTTGAAGATCAACTACTGCCCATTTAAAAAAAGGAATGGTGATGGCTATTTTTCAAATAACTTGAGAACGCTTGCAGCTATCGAGCTCGGATTTTCGGCATTCAAAAGAGGTTTTCTTACTTTATCGATCAGTATAAAATTGTTGAGGTTTAGTTTATAAACAAGTACTTATCCATAGTCATCTTCAAAGAGACGACTATAACTCTATGAAGACACAACGAGTTTTACATTTTGTAAAGTGGACTAGGATCACAGATTGACGGTCTACAAATCTACGAAAGGTTGAAATTGCTATCGCGATTCGTTCAAAAGTTATTAACATAATACTGACAACATCTAACAGCGGTTTAGTCATTTTCACCTAACGGAGAACATTTTTCAAGTTACCGTTACCGGTGTTTTCGATCATGGTGAATAGATTGGCAGTGTTTGCTTTGCTATACAACGAGTTCTTTCGTCCTCTAACATTACTACTAGCAATTGTGCACATACTGATTTCATATCTAATTGAAGTGAAAAATCTTTTTCTCTTCGTCGTTAGTTCGTTCTGTCCGTTCTATTGTAATCTTGTGGATCGACTGATTGATTGTTTCTTTATTCCAACAAGAGTTTTTTTGTCTCTTTGCGGCGAGGTTTCATGAGGAGAAGATTTAGATCGATCCGCGATTGTCTCCGGGTATTCCTTCCTTAGATTCTCTATGCATCGATCTTCTGTTTTCTGTCGGATTGTTTCTTTTCGCTGGTCATGCGCATTGTCTGGAACAGTGCTTGACAAGTTGTTTCTTTCCTCTTGTCATAGCCAATCTCTTTTCGGAAACATTTCCATAAGACGATGGGACCTTGTCTGAGCAAAAGAAAGTTTCTGTCTAGTTGGGAGGAAGGGGACGGTGGGAATATGAGAGTAAGTAGGGATACCTTCAATTCTGGATATTCGACGGAATAGTGGAACGTTGCACCACTGACATTCAACTAAACGCTATCCGTTCTTGACAAATTAAAGTACATGTTATTTGGCTTTAAAGAAACGATACTTGTAAGCATGTCGCATTTTATGCTCGTGAAAATTATAACACCACTTCAAGATATTGTCAAATGTCAATCTCGTGAAGTTCTAAACTCTAACATAATATGCTAATATCTCATGTATTCATTAAAATCTCACCTTTTCGTACTAATATCTCGTTAATTTCACTAATGTTTCATGTATTTTACAGATTTCTCGGCTGTTTCGCTAAAATCTCGTGTATTTTGGTGATATCTATTTTCCTGAGATGTCAGGGATCCCTCAAAATGTCGATTCAGAACAGCACCGTATGTAGCTCTGTGGTAAAGCCCATGAGCTTTAAACTTGATGTTTCTAAAATTTGGTTTAGAAATTAGTATGTTAAAAATTCAAACCTTTTAACTAAGAAGAAGTGGATGACGTAAGAACAGTCCGTTACAAGAGATTTTCAAAGATGATTTATTGTGGGAAAACAGAATTTTTTTATACTCAGTATAGCTACAAAACTATTGTTGTTGTGTTTCCTGTACCATATTATGATTGCTACACACTCTCTCGAAATGTGTTACTGTGTGTAACCACATAAAACAGATTCAACTGGAATGGGTCAACATATTTAACATGGCTATTTGTTTTGAAACAGAAAACAAATATTTTTCTGTTCGGCGTATGTCATATTTGCACTGTGTGGTCTAATGCACATTTTCAAAACGACTATATTATTCTGAAGGGAAGAAATTTTTTCAAAATCTTATCAGCATGATAAAGATTAAGCTTATGATGATTTAGTTTTTTTTCGATATTGACTTAGGAGACGCTGTCAAAATTCGCATCAGTGAATTTATTCACTGGACTGGAAGAAAATCTGAAGTATTATTCATTTTTTTGTAGCACAACCACTATTACAAGCAGAAGCTTCTGCAACTGGATTAATACCAGTACTAACGTAATCTTTACAAGGTTGAATAAATGTTTGTGTTAGTAGTGTTTGAGAATCAATAGCTTGTACATATCATCATCCGTCTAAATGAGTATTTTAATTTCTACTACAGTAGAAATTAAAATACTTCCGTTATATAAACTTTCTGGTAGAATTTAAAATTCTCCTATAGTAAAGATTAAAATTTCAATTCCTACTACTCAAAAGTAAAAAGGAATGCAGTTTCTTCTTTGAAAATGCAACATCAGCTTCTAAGATTTTTTAACATGCAAAATTAGGCTTTTTTCATAACACAGCAGCAGTTGCAGGTTGCAATTTCCTAAAAGGAAAATGCCAGAAGTGCATCTTAATCATTATACGCTCTACGCAGTCTCACGACCCACTATATGACTTACCTTTACATCAGGTTCAATGATTGTGCTCTTCGCTCATATATGCTACTACACTCTGTATTAACTATCTAGATGATACTTTTTTGTTTAGCAAAGCATAGCCACGTCAGCCGTCGCTAATCGGACAGATAGTGAATGACGTAATATTAATGCACAGTGTACGCAACAAATACGAAACCGATGTAAAAAAAAGCGATTTTCAACCGGAGATGAAGACCCAAATTTAAATACTATTGAGCGGTTAGGTATTTAATGATGTGGCTATTGTGCTAGCCGTATGCGTATGCTTTTAGAACAAGACGCCAACAAGAAAATGCAATAAATCCATGCAGTTTATCATAGGAGCCGACACTCTGGCCATCCATTATATCTTTAGAAACAAAATTAAATTGTATGAATAAGTTTATGATACAATGTCAATGTCGTCAGTTCGTCAAGTTGTCTGTGCAACATGTAGTGCTCTCCAATACAATAACAGTGCCCATGCTTTGACTATATCGAATATTCCAAACAGACATCTCTTTAAACGAGCTCAGAATACCAGAAAGTAGAGTATTTAAACTATTTTATTTTGTCCTATTTCTGTGAGGTCTCAAAAGAAATTTTGCAAAACCCTAAAATTTTCCAAAAGGATTTCTGGAAAACTTATAAATAAAAATATGCTTTTTCGATTTGTTCTGTCTTATAATTTTATTTAGCGGACTAAACTACCTATATCCTGGAGTTTTTTGAGCTTGTTCTGGTGTTTATTGAGTGAACAGTGAAGATGTCCGAAAAAAGTTGTTTCAAACACTTTCGGAAAAGTTTATGCTTATGAAAACATGTCCTCACGTCTTCTCTTTCTTATGGCGACGTTGTTTATTCCGGCTTGCATTTTGTTCTGCTTTGTGTGATTTGACTTCAGCTGTGGCATGATCGTTTCTTACGTTATCAATTAATTTTTGTGCTTCACTCATGTAATTTTCATACAGTTTGATCTTTGATTAAGCTTTTCCCGTTCGATTTTGAATGATTTCAAGTTCAAATCATAGTTTACGATTTTGTAGCTTAGTGGACGTGAGATTTGAAGAAAATGCCCTGATCTTAGCTAGGAGTGTACAAAGATACGATATTCATATCTTGTTGACATTCACCCAGATCACAGTCAAAATTTATTATAACTCATATTTCCCGAAAACTACCTCAGTATCAGACGTAAATACATTGAAAATATTTCTATACATTGCGCCATTTTGTAGTCATTGTTTTTTCAAACTTCGATTGAATATTTGACAGCTGTTAATTACACATTTTTGTTGTATCATTACTCTGTTATGTGTTAATAGAAATTATCTGGTTCTCTAAACAACACATAAATTATCATTGTCTTACATTTTTGTAGTCTATGGTACCATCATTAATTTGTTTAATCATTCTGTTTGAAATTTGTAACATTCTAAGATGGTTCAATGTGAATACACGCTAAAAATTTCTTTCAACTTTGATTTAGGAGTTCAGACCAAATTCCCGTTGTGTACGAACAGTATCAGCTATCTTTTGAGTATCTTTAAAGGATCAACAGACCATATTGTTTTGGATTCACATTTTACAGAAAAGGTAGAGCTATATGATTAATGGTTTAAAATAACCATTATGTAAATAAGCTTATTCTATTCATAGGATAAGAATTAAGGAGACAATAAAATATTCAAATGCAGATCGAGAAAAGAAACTGTTTTATATTGTTTACTTCGTCATTTGAATCTCAAACTCTGTTATTTTTTCTACCGAAAAATGTCATTTGTATAATATTAAATTAGTGACTCAATACAACTGCAAAACCTAAAATTGACACTTTTACCAGATCTGAAAATATTTGAAGCAAACTCTTTAAATAGTGGGATATTGTATTATTTTCTCCTATGGTGTTAAAAGTAATGGTAATCGTTACAGAATAAATTCAAATAAATATTAATGTTATAATATTCGAATGGTCTCAGTTCTTGAACGCTGTACATTTGTTACTCATAATGCTATTTTTGATACATATTAATTGATATTGTAGATTGATGCGTCTTGATAATCATCTTTAGCTATTTTCTCTAGTGATACGTGATCGCGAAGGTAGTTTGTACTAAAATATTAAAAATATATCTAATTCAAAAAATATATTAAATTCTTTATTGTACATAGTCACTAAGCGAGCGCAGATCGATTATTTCACTTTATCATATAATCTGTTTTATAAACATAATAATGAACGAGAGAGAAGAAAAAAATATATACGAAACTGTAAGCAATAAAACTTGTTCTAAAATAAAAGAGAACAAAAAGTTTATCTTGACATTAGTGATTAATGTAAAATTTATACCAATTTATACCAATACCAGATATCTCCTCATCAGGGAAAAAAGAAGAGAACAAAGACGAGAAATATGATAAAAAAGCATAAGATTAACATTAGAGTACTCGTAGAATAATAAAAGAAAAATCCAGGTACTAGATGATGTTACTTGTCACACCATTAGAGACAATGTATTTTACTGAATTTTCAAAAAAAATCTGATACAATGGTATAATGAATTTATTAATACAAAACTATTCATGAGTTTGATGCAACCTTGAACTAGATGATTCCAGGATTGACTTTTTTTGTTCTCGATCCCACCTTTATTTTTGTATTCTAACGACAACTGTCGTTTAATGCTGCTCACGTCCAGTTAGATGGCGATTCACAAAAAAAGAAAGACTACAAGTAAAGATGAACAGTCGATATCAATAAGAAAGAAACTGAAAATCTATGATAAAGACAACAGTTCTGGTGTTAGTGATATTTAGTATCAATTATATTCTGTATTTTTTCTCTGCGCACTGTTGATTAGATCGTTTAAACTTAGAAACACGTATTTTTGTTTTTTACTCTGTTTTTCGAATGAATGAAAGTTTGTTTTTAAAATACATGGGGAAAAACCAAACCCGATCGCAGCTTATACAGAAAAAACTTCTTGAGGATTCCGTAACGTTTGAGCCATTGTCGAATTTGTTTATTAAACCTGAGAACTTTTCTTTGAGAACATGTAATTAAGTTTAGCTTTGTGTCAATCCTCACTATATTTTTAGAAGTTACAGGATACGGTGTTTTTATTCAAGGGATACTTCAATATCGGATGGACTAAGTTCTCTTCTCCTGTATTTCCCAATTTTGATTCTACAAGTGATAATCTCAAAAAAAAAACGTGCGAAAGGCTAACATCTTTTTGGTCATCCACTTGTGAATTTTTACCGATTGCTATATGTGAAGAAAACATTTACGCTTGGACTCTCAGAAAATGTATCCATAATATACTGCCCATTTCAAGCTCCAACGACTAAATCGTGTAGCAAACACTTTTTTGAGAGGTTTCTATGTTAACAGCAAACAATGTATTTTAGAGGTACAATTACAAGTAACAACCTAACTGAGATTTAATTATAAAACCAGGTACAAAAAAGCTATAACTATATACAGACGGTTTAAAATATCATTCATTTATCATTTGTACAATTTACTACTGACAGTATGTTTTCATCGAAACATATCCACTTTGAATTTTTCTCATTCAAACTAGTAGGCAACGAACGTGAGTAGAAGAACCATGTGTAAATATTTAAAACAAACGTAAACAATAAAAATATTAAAAATACGAGGCGATTATAGATATGAATTGCATATAGACTTTCTTTATCTTTTGAGATAGGTACAACAGCATTCGCTGATGATTTTAACGTTGATTTGTTTCTACTAGTTGATTGATTATTGGTATTATTATCACATGGTCCATTTGGTTGATGACGAATGAATTCGTGGGTTGTGTTTGCAGTACCTCGTCGAATCCAAATTGTTGCTTCATTTCGAAGGTCGGCCGATGTTAAACTTCGTCGTCTTCGTCCGGAAAAAATTGTTGATGTATCCTGAGAAGATGATAATTCATTGTGGTGTTCCGAGAGAAATGTGTGAGATTTAGGTAATATGATTAATTTTGGAAACTGGTGGTGATTCGGTATGAAATCTCTTTCTAAATAGCAACTATTCGAATATTCAGCGACGTTTACATTATTCTTCTGAGGTAATAATAGAGGCGAATGTTGAGATGGTAAAGGTCGTGTATGTGATGTGGATGGAGGTGCTGTACGTTTCGCTTTTCGATGCATGTTTGTTGCGCATACAACGTACGCCACATAGTCTAATGCTAGCCATCGAATCCAATGTGGTAAACGTTTTTTTTCACGTAATTTATTTGTAAAAGCAAACCATGTCATGGCCAAGAGGGAATAACACATGCATACCGTTAAATATAAACTAATTAAATGGACAGAGTCACTCTGAGATGGAACATCTTCACTTAAACGTAAACTAAACACGGAATAGGCCAACATAATACTGATGCCTATAATTAGAAAGAAAATTATCGAAATGGAGAATCTGTGCCTCTGTGCATTTTGATCACTGGTAATAGAATACATCTGTAAAGTGCTTAATTTCCATCGATAGTTTGTTATCCGTTTTACCATGAGGTTTTGAGTGATTGTGATTGAGAGTTCTGAAGTTCGAGTGCTCCTTTACAGTATTTTTTAATCGCTGACGCTAGAGTAAAGAAAATATTTATTTTTCAAGCAAAAGTGTTTATTCTCAAGAGTTGCAGCAAGGTGATTTATAGTCGTTGTTTGTCGCATCAACGCGGTTCACTTTTCAAGATTGTCTCTCTGTTTCAAATGGTTTTGATAGTTGACTTTCTCTGTCTGCCTATTCTATTTTTTTCCCACTGTCAGACTAAAAATGTTATTCAACATTTGTTTATTTTCGGATTTGATTGCAGCTTCGTACTGTTATTTTGTTAACATTCGCATCCCACTCTTAAAAACCCTAAATTATTTTTAAGCCGGTCGAGTAAAACTCGTTGGAGGCTTATTCCTGCTCCACTACAAAAAATTCTTCTTTTCTTATTTCTTCTAGGCCCACATTTTTCCTTTTAGTCAGCCACTCGTTCTCAGTTATTCCATATCGTAGAGATTTGGGAAAAGGATCAGTCGCAAGAGGAAGAGTTGTAGATAAAACAATCCGTTCTTGTTTCATCCACAGTAATTGAATTATTATCGTTTCATCGATAATCTTTTAGACCCCTTGTAAAACATGGAATTATGGGTCCAATTATAGTTGATATACAAAACAACAAATGTATATACTACAATTTTAAATATGAAAAAACTTTATAAAATTCAGTAAAAAAGATTAATTGAGTAATGGATTTCTTTCTCAGCACGAATAGTGTACAGAAAACAGGTGTACTTTATAATAAAAAATGTATAAATACACTTAAATCAGTGATATTGGGCCCACAAAACCATCTATCGATCAAAAATGCTACCTGTTACTACATTTTCATGGATGGAACATTTCTGGAACAAATTTGTCACATTATATTTTGAACAAGGTGTTATATCTGTATGTGATTATTTCCAAATGCCAAGATCAAATGGTGTCATTTCCATTTCAACAAGTGTTTGTACACAAAATTACAAAATTTAGATTTTGAATGAAACAAGAAAAGGTTAAAACTTTCTAAATTATGTAAACGATTATTTCGATTAACATATAATGTCTTACGTGGTGCTAAACTGAATTTTACAAACTTTTTTCAAATGCAAAACATCTTTCAAATACATCTTTGTTTTCTGTGATATCATATAGATGCAACCATAATCCCGTATTTTACAAGGGGTCCAAAAAGTTGTCAACGGAACAAGAATCAAGGTTCATTGATTTTAAACATAGGGCCGACAAATCAAGATAAATAAATGTCAACGAATCGAGCAAGAAATTAGTGTCGACGAAACAAGAATATCCTGTTGAAATATTTGAAGTTATTTCACTCATATCTGTTTTAATTATCTTATAATTAGTTCTGAAAGTTGATACATTTCTCAAAAACTTTGTATAGAGATAATTTGAAACTAACTACCCTGTGGACAGATTGGAAAGCCGACCGAGTGAAACGTCCTTTAGAAACATTTTAGACACCATATGATTCGCTCAGATAGGCTATAAGAGTTCGTTATTCCTGCTTTACATAAGGATAATAACATAAATGCATTTCCTTTTCTTTTCTATTTCGTTTATATCTCTCACATAGAAAATGATATTTAGCCGCCAGATCACAATTAATTATCTCTGTAAAAAAGTCTTTAAAAAAATATGTCACGTTCAGACACTAATTATACGATAATTAAAATATATATCGGCAAAATCACTTTAGATGTTTCACGTACAACTGTTTCACTTTCCACTCATTTTTGTCCTGAATATCTAGGACAAGAGATAGCCAAGAATGGGTCGCTGACTAAACCAAAAGGTGATGTAAAGAAGAGAGATGAAAGGGGAAAGAAGAATTTTGTAAGATGAAAAAGAATAAGCCGCTCTGAGTTTCGCTTGATCGGCTTAATTAATTGTCATTAGAAAAAGACAGAGAGAATGAAACAAGAGAATAGTCAGCATATAATGACTAATTTGTCACACGTTCATACATTAACCTTATCTATGCATTACCTATCATTATATCGTTAAGATGGAGACCAAGATTCTCAATTGACAATGATAATGTCACAAAATAGCTACTTCATTTGATGGTTGTATAAGTCCTAGGCGTAGTGCTCTTTCTTTCTGCTGCACTAATTGAGATAAAAAGTGCTGTTCTTTAGCACTTTGTTATCGTTTTTAGGCCTTCACCACACTATTTTTCTATACTAGAATAATTGCCAACAGCTTGCTGAACGTTGTACTCTTATTCTCTGCTGAAGTGATTGAGATAAAAAGTGCTGTTTTTTAATGCTTAAGTTATCGTTTTAGGTTCTTTATCACGTTCTTTTTCTCTATTAGAATAATTGCCAAGGGTAATCGCTAAAGTGTTTCTAAGGAACGTTTCACGTGGCTGGCTTTCCAATCGGCCCGCAGGATAGTTGGCATCTCGTCTAACATGGGATTAGTTTCACTTTCGATGTCTATTGTTATTGTACCGTTTTCTCATTATATATTTAATAATGGGTGTCAATTGTTTTGATCACCAAATTTTCCAGCATCACATTTTTATACATATAAACATATAAATTTTAACAAAGACAATATTTTCACAGTTTTATTTACATTTATTTACAAATTTAAAGCTTTGCTAACTTTCTTGGGGCGTCCTTTTGTTTTTCGTTTACCCAATGGTTGAATACGTGTTTTATCGCTAACTTGATACAAGTTAAATAAAATTGCCAATCCAACCGAGGCAACACAGTTTTATTTACATTTATTTACAAATTTAAAGCTGGTTGAATATGTGTAGTCAAATTTATTAGTTATATGTATACAAATGTGATGCTGGAAAATTTGGTGATCAAAAGTATCTCTTTTTGGTGATCATTTGTATCTAAAAAATTTGGTGATCAAAAGTACCTTTACTCTTTAATAATCGGATTTGATTTCTACTTTTTCATTGAGAATATCCATGCTATTTGAAAGTAGAGCTCGGCATAGACAGTTTTTAGATTTAAATTACGGCAGCTTAGATCTAATAGCACTGGTAAAAAACGCCGATTTCCGGCTAGTTCCTACATCCAGATACGGTAAGTAATTTCGGTAGCAGTAAACGGCGAGTTTCAGCAGTTTTAGAGTGTCTTTTCTGACCACTAAAACAGATCTTCATATGCAGCATCAGAACTGTTCATGAACGATACCGAAATCACATGAAATGCAATCGTGTAATCAAAAGCCTTATCTGCTATTTTTCATCCTTCCCATACTTTTTAATCCTACAGTGTGAAAAAAGTGTACTTCGCCTAAGAGGCAACCTCATTTTTGATCAATAAGATATTTCCATGTAAAAGACGCGTCATGAAGCTTTATGAAAGTGCCTGGATTCCAGTTTTATGCACTCATAGTATCTACGTAAGACATTGTGGATGGATAGTCCAGGCAGCGTGAATGCATTCTCCCATGTAAATTAGGCGCATTTTTGAAAGTAGGACATCCCGCTGTCCGTAAAGCATCCAGAATGCACTAAATACGCTGAGATCGAATACAAAACTCGACTACCACGAAAAAAGTGCAAAAAAGAGATGAATAAGTCCATCTAGAATGAACAAATAGGATAGAAAGAATGTTAGTCTTTCTTCTTGGATATAGACGGATTAGGAAAAAGGGACTCAATTGCTTGTTAGTTTTAGTTATGAGATTTTTAACTTCCAAACATACCTGAGTATATGTATTGAAGAATGGCCAAACCACCGTTTTTAATTCGGTTTTTGGTCTTATATAAAGCATCTGGTCAGAAATCAACAAATTTCCCTTACTCCAAAGATATTATAAAATGAAAGCATCTTATTAGTGAATAATTATTTAATGTCGGTATGTTGAGATCTTTTTCCTTTTGACGATAAAAAATATATGAAATGTTCGATCTTACAGTGGTCTCACACAGAAAAGGTCATAATACAGTTCAATACATAATGTTTAAATCAATATGTCTAAACAAGATATGGCTGCATTTAGCTGGATTCAGTATTTCCTAATCTCATTTCAACTTTGTTTCTCTGCAAAAATATATTTATTAATCGAAGATAAGATATTTTAACACAATTCAACAGTGGAAAATTAGACAAATATAAACTTTTCTATCGTATCTACCATCTTTCAAATTAATAAGATTTAAGCACTAAAATTCATTTTTTAGTTCAAATAAGATTAGGAAATACTAAATCTAGCTAAATGCAGCCAAGTCTTGTTCAAACACACTGATTCAAACATTGTGTATTGAGCAGTATTATGACCTTTTCTATGTGATCACATAGAAAAGGTCATAATACTGCTCAATAGAAAAGGTCATAATACTGCTCTCACATGTGAGACCACTGAGAGATCGAACACTTCATATATTTTTTATCATCAACAGGGAAAAGATCTCAATATAACAACATCAAAGCAGTTTTCACTGACAAGGTGCTTTGGAGTGAGGGAAATCCGATGATTTCTGACCTTCTGCTGCTCCTTACGGGGTGTGCAAACTTGTAGTTAATAACTATATTATTCCCGTATAGTGACGTTTATTCAAACACGAACGTTTCAGCTTGGTAAAGCCTTTTTCACGGTGACAATAGAAAGAGTGGAACTAGAAATAACATTCAAATTGGTGAAATAGATTCAATTATTAAAAGAATTATTAAAAATGACAGATCATCGAAAATAAAGTGCTGACTTCAGGTGTGATTACAATCATACCTGAAGTCAGCACTTTATCTTCGATGATCTGTCATTTTTAATAATTCTTTTAATAATTGAATCTATTTCACCAATTTGAATGTTATTTCTAGTTCCACTCTTTCTATTGTCACCGTGAAAAAGGCTTTACCAAGCAGAAACGCTGGTGTCTGAATAAACGTCACTATACGGGAATAATATAGTTATTAACTACAAATACTACAGTGGTATACAGCAACAGCCTCTAATTTTTCTTTAATATGAAATTTTTCAGAACATCACACAGTAAAACATAAATACTTTATCTTTTCTGTTTACACATCAGAGCTGCAGATTACACTTTTTTCTCGCAACTTCTCTTTCACATATCAGACCTGTACTCATTTTATAAGTGTTTAATCGAAATATAGAGCAAAATAATCGGAAATAATGGATACACCGGAATAAATGTTCACTAACAGTATTTAATATTTCTTCAATATCTTTTTCAGTTTTTATCGTTTTACTTTCAAACTACAGCAAAATTTTGCTGACTTTTAACCATGTAAAAACGATTTTTAGTTTTGACAATATGTACGTTTTCCTAACAATTATCGATAATTGATAATGTGGAGAAAGCATTTTGTATTGAATCAGAAGTTTGACATCTATATTAATGTTGATCTAAATGCATAACTTCTTATACATTACGTAGGGCATACCAAAAGTAACGAGATTTGCAGGTAAAAACCCACAGACTAGAGGTAATCATATCCAAGTATCCACTTCAGCAAGTATTTGAGTTAGTAGACACGATTACCCACGCACAAGAAATTTGTTTCAAAACATTTGCTGAAAGTTGTTTTTGAATCATCTTTGATTGAAAAATTCATCAGTTGTATGAATTTTCCAAAATAGAGGCCAAAATACCCAATTTTTTAATCAAAGATGATTCGAAAAAAACTTTCAGCAAATGTTATGGATCAAGTTTATTGTGCGTGGGTAATCTTGTCTACTAGCTCAAATACTTGCTGAAGTGTAAACTTAATTAACCCTAGTCTGTGGGTTTTACTAGCATATCTCGTTACTTTTGGTATGTCCTAAGTATAATGAGTAATAATACAACAGTTTTCTTTTTTTCTACTCTTGTCGGTAATTCAACCTACAAACTGTGTGTCAAATATGACTTTACCTATTTGCATTTCCTGTGCGAATGGAATAAAAAATGATACTAATGTTAAAATTGTTAACATTAGGGCTGGTACAACGGTGTTATATATCGCTTGTAATGGTTTTCGTCGAATTAATACTGTAAAATTAATTTCATAAAATGGATCCTTTTCAATCCAATTTGCAAATTCTTGTTCTCTTATTGTTTGTTTCACGGCAAGCAACTTCCATTCGTTATTTGGTGCATAATCAGGTAGCTTAAAGAGATAAACGTACAGTTAGTATAGTATTTTTTCCTCAAAAATACATTGTTTACTTCAGGTTGTTCTTCCCAAAATCTAAATGAAAATTATTCTAAAGCTACTCTTCTATAAAAGTAACAATATAGTTAACCTGTATTGAATTATTTTCTTTGTATGACTCCATGATCCAAATACCATTTCGCATGATTGTTCGTCAAATGGAAAATGTCTGATACCCATTCGACATCTTGTTCTTAAATGTGCCAAGGGCATTGGCCATACGACGAGTCCATCGTTATTAATCACCATGTTTTGCGATTCTTGTGGTATTAAGTATCCCGTATTATCAGCTGTATTATACAAAAATGTATCCGGATACCATAACATCGATGCTGGTATTCTTAATAATGTGAGATTATCATATTCTGATCGATTCCACATTAAACGTGAATCTATCCATTTTTGATCAACAAATACGTTTGATACCATAATTTGTTCTTTTTCAATCATGTTAATTATTTGATTAAATACCAGACGAAAATCAATAATGACAACACTGCTTGGACGAACTTTTTTCGAATAATTAGCCTCATTTAATAATGTTCGAATTAATTTTTCTTCATAATGACTAGCTGTCAATATTAAAATAAAATAATTTTCGAATAAAAATAATATTATACCAACATTACGCATTCTCTATCATGTATAGTCAACAAATTGAATAATACACGAAATAAAATAGATAATTTCTAAATAAAAATAAAATATGATATATCGAAAATATACCTTTTTTAAATTATAACTCGACTAGGGAAGAGAACTACTTTTCTTAACATATCATTTCAGATGTTTATATACAAATAAGATGGGTTATGTACTGAATTACTGAGTTCTTGAATTCTTTTATTAACTGTGTAATATGATTTTGTGCGTAGTTTCGTTTTAGCTCTTTCTTTCTCTCTCTTTGTGTATACATCTACTCAAAACAGGTAATGTTATCCAATCAGTATACAATAACAAGAGAGCAGAAGATCCTAGATCCGTCTCTATTCCATGGGGCGTTTTATTGACTTTGTTCATTTTCTATTTTCTGACATTGTTTACATTAACAAATGTTTTCGAACTACATCGAAAAAAAAAGATTTATTTACAATTACGATGCATAAGTCTGTTACGAATTAGTTCACTACACTCAAGTTAAAGAAAAACGAAAGAAAAGAAAATAGACTGAAGTAGACTATTTTATGATGGATGAATTCGACTTAGTCATCTCATCTATCATATTTTAGCGACAGTTAGATCTCTACTAGGTACGATTATGGTCTCACTCATTATAACCATATACTCCCTTCAAGATTCTAAGCTCTCTGAACGTTTAAAAGTGAAAGAATCTGTTTCACGAATCCTCACCATAAAAAGTAATAAAGGCAAAACAATAGAGATAATCGACTTGTCTTTGTCTTATAGAAATAAGATGGACGGCGCACCTCGTATAGAAAAAGAAGTATCTCAAAATAAGATGGATAAATTGGTCGAGAAAAAGTAAGGTGTTACATACGGTCAAATGCTACTTTTATTAAAGTATAATTCAAAAGGAGAAATGGTACATGTCCTACTGCATATCGATATAAAAAAAACCTGTAAAATCACAGTATAAAGTTGAAATCTTCTTTTCTTTTCCTGATGTGTTAGTATGAGTCATCGATAATGTACTTATATATTTTCAGTAGTATAGCTCCTCACCTTTATATATGAAAATAGTTGAAAAAAATCCATTCATAGCACTTATCTAAATTTAAGGCAAAACAAAAAATTTCTTTGATTGAGTGTCTTAACATCTCGACATAGAAATCAAAAAGCTTATTCATTTAGACGATAATATGCTTTTCGAATAGAAATAGTGAAAAAATACGGAAATTGTAAGTATGTAGCGTGTTATTGATTTTTATAATTGCCAATAAAAAATAAATTGAGAATTTCTCATAAAGTTTTTCCGGTACAAATACGACAAAAAATGCTTCAGTAGACATAGAATTAGATTGTCTTCGTTGTCAAATATCAACAACACAAACCTATGACAAATTATCAATACATTATTACAAATAAGATCAATAAACGTGGGTGGTATAGATGTGTAATCTTTGAAGGGAGATTAAATCGTAATTTCCTCATTAACCAAGTAGAGATAATATATCAGAGGAGAAACAAAATTATTGAAATATTTTGTAAGAAATCCATAAATAGACAATTCATGATTGATGATAGTGTATAGTGTAGAAAGCAAAGATTCTTTTTTATGATAATAGAAGAAAGTAGGAGTGAGCAATTGCTAAAACGGTTGAGGTTGTCTTCCACCGAAATGTCATTATAGTTGACAAGGTTAAGAACTTTTTAAACATGTCAAAAACTTACCCGACACATACATTCTACTTCATTCCATTTTACATCTTAAAATGTGTTTTGAACTTGAAAATAGATCAAATTTGTTCATTCTTTTGTTTTTTTTTTACAGAATAAATTCTATTATGCGTTTAATGTGCGTGATACTCACCATCAAAAAATACAAGTATATTCATCAAAGGCACATACATGCTCAAGTGTCATCATCTAAACTGATTATTATTTGAAAATGATGATGATAATGAAGATACTGGGCAATAGTGAAAATTGGACTCAAGGGTTACGTTGAAAAAATGATAATGTTGATGCAATATACTGTATCTGAAAGAAGAACGTTCTCTATTTTGTGTCAACAATCTAAGAACGTCAAAAATACCATAACACCGAACAAGAATATATATAAATGAATTACACATGTTCTATTTTTCATTTTTTTTTTCTTATTTTTTTTATGTGTTGTCACAAGTAAGATGAAATCATTATTAATAATTACTTCCTTCCTTGTGTAATCTATCGCATATCGTGCATATACATACACAAACAAGTTGTCGAAATTGTTGATCATATCAATATATATTAATAGACGAAAGAAATAACAAAAAACAAATAGTGAGATATAACTTGATAATAATTAAAGTCATTTTGGGCGTATATTCATAATACAAATTTAATTATATTTAGTTCGTTAAATTTGCTATTGTTTTCAATTTCATTGATCATATATTTACTCTCTAAACATGTTTGTTAATTAAAAATTTAAAACGAAACGAAAATGTATGCATAGTTTCATCATTTTTTCACTAATTCTGTTCCCTTTTTATAATACCCAAGTTTCAAATAAATACCAGATATAACAGATTTTTGTCAAATAAATGTCACAACGAACATGATATGAACATTTTTCCATGAGAAAAATTCTGTAGTAACTAGAAATGAATTTCTCTTTCTCTCTTTCTCTCTCTCTCTCTCTCTCTCATATACATATATATATATATATATATACATAGCATAACACAGAGATGTCAGATTAAAATATTCTGATACTATAATGGGTTATTGAGATTACAACTACTTTTTTTTTCTAAACATTTTCTCAGTCGAAGAGAATGTTTTTCTATTATCTATAATATACCACGACAAGTTTTATGTAATAGTCAATTTATAATGCCAACGGAAATAATAGAGATATAAGTATTTGAGCGCCTTGTAACCTTCAAGAGAGAACGATAAAACAGTTGTAAAAAATCTTCGTCAACAACAAAAATAGCATCCATTTTTTTCTATGGCATTAAGTTTCAAAGAAAAACATTAACTAATTACCAACTTGATATAATAGACTAAACAAATTATCTGAAACTCTCTAGATGAGATATTAATATTTCCATGCCTTAAGCTATATGAATAAAAGCATAAAAGTAAGTAAGTTTTATTTAATACACCATTGATACCATTTATAAGTTTGTCAAACTAATATGAGAAAAAAATAATCTGGTGATATTATCATTCTTTTTTTATTCATTATAAAGTCTAATCATGAAAAATTCGATCCCTCCAGATGCTCACCATTATTTTCTCAATTGAATTTGGCTAATCACTATTATCATTATCTAATATTGTTCAAATTCATAAACAGAGTGATATAAATAGAACATTGATTCTCATGTGTCACACATACTATTTTTTTGTCAAAAAAATAATAATAATACTTCGCTTTATTAAGAAAGAAAGAAAGAAAGAAAGAAAGAAAAAGAGAGAGAGAGAAGAGAGAGAGTAGAAAAAAGTTTTTATTTTCTTTTATCTTGATGATAGTGCGATATTATAATCAAGTTTAGTGCCAATATGATCGAAGTATTTTATTTGCTTACAACTGATTAATGATCAATAAATTGCCATAATTCTATCCATGTTAACATTGTCAATCATTAATTCTAATTTCAAATTTTGATGCATATCGTCTATTTGTACAATAATATGGAATAACGGTATGACAACATTTATTAAATATAATTAATTCTAGATTTTCCTTGTTCTGTTCATTCTTTTTTTTTAAAACAACTTTATTAGAAAATTATAATCAGAATAATAATAGTAATAATAATATTGCGTGCAAGAACAACACAAAAAAAAAAAAGAGGAAAATATTATAATGTCAATTAATAGTGTAAATTCATTTTTTTTTCTCCTGATATACGAAGATGAAGCGTAGAGTATGAATCGATTTTTTTGTTTATATAGTCAACAATTCTCTCATTTTTAGTTATAAAATATTTTTATTTTTTTTTAAATTGTAGTAGGCCAAATTTATTAAAGAAAAAACAAACGAACAATGAATATTTCGTTGATAATTAGTTGACGGCAATGACGAGAAAATTAGAGGAAGTATTTAACTAAAATATTTGACTTAAAAATGTTAAACTTATATTTGACTTAAGGAAATATGAAATAAAATAATATGTCTCGTTTTAATATCTTTTTAATAGCTTCAATACATTCATTAAATATGTTGCTAATGATCGTCTAGTAATGTGTTTTCGTATCTACGAAAGGTGTTCCAGAATACATTTTTTACTTGACCATAGAGAAGTACGTGCCAAGTGCCATTACAGGATCCATATTACAAATACTCTACAAGTTGCCGTCACTGTATAACAATACTAGTCACATGTTGAATACAAATTAACTGTATGTGCTTTTTTCAAGAACAGAAGTCTCGCACACTCTCTCTCTCTCTCTCTCTCTCTCTCCCGCTCTTTCGCTTTCTCTCTCTTTCTCTTTCTCTTTCTCTTTCTCCTTCTCTTTCTCCTAGAACAATCTGACTATTTCATTTATGGTTGATAATGATTGATAGTTCTAAAAACTAGAGAAATCTATATCTGTATCATAATGAACAAAAACAAATGTCCAATTATAGAACATGATTAAGAATGATTTACAATTCTTTCTTTTCGCTTTCCAATTCGAGAAATTCATACATTATACCATTATTATTATTACTTTTTGTTTGTCTGTTACTGTATAAAGAATGGCAAAAAAAAATAGTAAGATCCTACTATCATCATCTTTCATCACAATTGAACCATTGATTCTTAATGACCTTTCTATGCAACAAAAAACATATATTCTAAATTAGACAAATTGAGACATGAAATTAGCTTTTTTTTAAAATCATAATGCAATAATTTAAAAGTTGAATAAAATTAATTTGTTCCAAAATTCAAAATATTTATGGCGATATAGATAATAATTTTTTTAAAACACAACACAGGCGTTTACTGGTATTGATATTGGTACTT